GCAGGCATCAGAGATGCTCGAGTCCCGGTGGGAGGCCCTGGGAGGGTCTCCTCCAGTTCTTTCCCTCTCCCAGGGAGGCCCAGAGTGGGAGAGGAGCCTGCCACCCACCCCCTCTCACCTCAGGTAAATCCGTGCACTCCATGGTTGCACACCTGGATGCAGTCACCTGCCTAGCCGTGGACCCCAATGGCGTATTCCTGATGTCCGGAAGTAAGCTGGGCACACTAGGCCCACGAGGGTTCGGGAGAAGGGGAGGAAGAGGCCTGGGCACTGGCCCCAGGCAAGTGCTCAGAGGGGCTGGGGGTCAGGACTGAGGGAAGCCGGTTTGGGTGAAATGATGGAGATAGGAGCAGCACAGCACTCCGGGCTCAGCTCCCTGGGGCACTGGAGCTGCATCATCTCATTTGGCCCCTAAACAACCTGCGAGGTTGGTACCTTTATCCCCAGTTGACAGACGTGGGCCCTGGCCCTCAGACGCTTTGTAACTTGGCATTGGGGCTGCGTAGCATTGTTCCAGGTCTGCCTGGCCAGTCCCTACAGGGACTTACGTGCTCCCACCCTGCCGTCTCTGGATAAGGGCATCCAGGGCAGCAACAGGCTGTGCTTAGAAGGGATGGAGTGGGATGTGGGTGCGTGGAGAAGGGGCTGGAGCTTGCTGCGGGGGGAAGGGCGAGGCCTGCCTGGTGAGGCCTGCAGTGAGTGCAGGCATGAGTGCGTGTGCGCGCATACAGGTGCAGGCCGTGGTGCTGGAGGCTGTGGCTGGCTCTGCTTCCAGGCCTGTGCTGGCAGCCTCTGGTGGGTGAGGGGCTGGTTAGTGAGATCCAGCTCAGTGCAGAGATTAGTATAGGGTCCGGGTCCCCACAGACAGGCCTTGATTCTGGGGACTGCTAAACAGTGGAAGAAGCTGAGCCTTTGCCCTGCCTGGTCTTCCTGACCCTAAACCGGATGTCTCCTCCCCAGGGCCCTGCGCAGGCTCTTGTGGCCACCCCTGCCTCCTGCCTTGGGACCTTCCCGCCTGTCCTGCCTGGGAGGCTCCCTGCATTCTTCTTGGGGCCATTCTGTCCTCACACTGACCCCTGGGTTGCTTTCTTCTTTCTCTTCCTGTCTCAGCTGCAGCCTCAATGCTGCTGGGCAGGGAGAGTTGCCTGTTTTGTTCACTCCCCGCCCCTGGGGCTCAGTGTACAGTAGCTGCTCAGGAAATGCTGGGGGATGAGATGGACCATGGACGGAAGGGATGGGGGTTCTCCTTTGGGTGGGCCTCAGGAGGTGATGGGCAGAGGGTGAGGGAGAGGAGAGTTGAGCCCTACTTCCCCTGAGGCCTTTGGACAAGGCCAGGTGAGGGGCTTCAGGGCTGAGTCTGAGTGAGGAGCCCGGTGACCACCCCTTCTGGTCCCCCCACACCTGCACAGGCCATGACTGCTCCCTGCGTCTCTGGAGCCTGGACAACAAAACGTGCGTGCAGGAGATCACGGCCCACCGCAAGAAGCACGAGGAGGCCATCCATGCCGTCGCCTGCCACCCCAGCAAGGCCCTCATCGCCAGTGCTGGCGCCGACGCCCTGGCCAAGGTCTTCGTATGATGCCCACCTGGCCCTGCCCTGGCCGCCATGCTGGCTGGGGAGCGGGGCCGGGCAGGTGGGGCTGAGGTGAGGGCAGAAACCCCGCATCCTGAGCCCTCGCACGCCCCTGGGCTGATATTCCCCAGGTGCTGATTCCCAAAGTGCAGTCAGGGGCACCCTGTGAATCACTGGGGGAGCCCTGGGCATGCAGGGGAGGGACTGAGGCCCGAGAGGCACCCTAGAGGCAGCGGCTCAGCCTCCCCTCTCTTCTATCTCCTGCAGGGTCTCCCAGCCTCACTGGAGGTGCAGAGGTCTGGCCTCTGCCTGTCTGCCATGGAGCCTGGTGGTGCTAACGGCCCTTTCCCCAGGAATCCCTCCCCCACGGCTGCCTTCCCCAAGCATCCAGCCTGGGGATGGGCCCCTTTCAGGAATCACCCCCGAGGATGGCCTCGGGGTTTCCCCCTGCGCCCTGACAGCTGTTCCTGGTAGCAGAGCTGCCTTTGGAAGGGCAGCACAGCCAGGGCCAGGTGTCTTTAGGGATCAGTTTCTCCAAGACGCCAGAAGGTGCCAGGTTCTCCCCTTGAGCTCCTGCTCCCCCAACCCCATCCTCCCAGAGCTGGGCAGGAGCTGTGCTGGGAGAATGGGTGGCAGCTGGGAGCCTCGGGCTGGCCGCCCCTCCCCTCCAGTCCTCTCCACTGCTTTCCATACACTAACCAAGGCCCAGGGATTGCCCAAGACTCCTAGGGCAGCCCTCCCAGTACTCCACGGGGCCACCCATGGGCAGAGATGGCCTTGTGCCCCTCCCTGGGGCATGGAGGGTGGAGTGGGCCCCTGGGTCCACCTGAACTCCCTGTATATCTGTATAAATAACAGGATTTTCATGCCGCCCCACCTGCGTTGTCACTGTGTGATGGTCTCGGTCAGTCTGTCCCTGCCTCCACTCTTTCCTCTATTTATTTCACTTTCTTGTTTCCTGTACCCTCGGTCCCCTTCCAGGTTCCTGTTTATAAGCCCCATCCTCTCTGCCCCCATCTTGTATGTGAAAACTTGTCTCAGTAAACCCTTTGGAGTAAGATGAGTGACAGTGCCGTCTGTTGAGGGGACTGAGAACTTTGGGGGAGGCGTGACTGGCTCTGGCTGGGTTGGGTGGAGTTTGGAGAGGGGATAGGATGGGTTGGGTTTTGTGGTAGGGCAGCAGGGGCCGGAGAGGGGCCCAGAGCTTGGGTGGGGTGTGGGTGGAGAGCAGAAGGGGCACTGGACCGAATCTCCTCATGCCCTTTCTGTCCGTAAGTGCTCCCTCCCCCGGGACAGAGCCCTGGGGAGCAGATGCTGTGATGACAGTTCAGCTGATGCCTAAGCCTGCCTGGGATGTGTGATGGGTGGGGGTGAGGCCAAAGGGCTGGTGCCCAGAGGACATAAGCCCCCCTCCGGTTCCCACCCCAGGCCCACAAGGAGCAGGGAGGGAAAGGCTGCACCTTCCAGCAGTGGATGATGGCTTTGGGGCGCAGATTGCAGGCTCCTCGGTGCTGGGAGGAGGCGCCTGTCCTGATGAGTCCATCCTTTCCCTTCTCAGAGACCCATGTCTACCCGTGCAGGGTGCTTTACACGGCATTTCACTGGGTCCACAGACTTGAAAAGGGAACGGCTCTCCACATGGCTCCAGATGAGATGGAGGGGACGCGCTCCCATCTCCAGAAGGAGGCTTCCACCACCTACCAGCCAGGCAATCCCAGCTCTTCTGCCACATGCCACTAATGCCCACTTCCTGGGATGTAAGGGCTGTGCCCCCAGCCCTCCAGCAGGCCCCAGTGAACATAAAAGGAAGGATGGAGGCGTCTGCCTGCACACGGGAGACATAGCAGTGTTTTGCTGGGAGGGTCATCTTCCCTTCAGGAAAAAGGGTGCAGGAGGGCAGGAGACCCTTAGGTGACGCCCACAGGAGCCTGCGTGGGATCAACGTGGCGCGCTCCCTGCTCATTCCTCTAGGCTGATGTAGTTCCCCAGGTGGTAGTTTGGGTTTTCGCTCCAGCCTCAGACTTCCTTCCCCAGCCCCAGCCCCCGGATGTGGTGACAGAATCGCTTCTGTACCGACCTCAGCAACCCCCAACGGCCCTACACCAGGAAGAGGGGCTCTTCTGGCAGCCCCCATCCCCAGCCAGCCGTGCCATTTCCAGTCCTATGGCATCCCAGCCAGACAGGTGGCCCTTCTCTTAGTGCTCAAACCTAGGCCCTGACTTGTCAATCAAAGGGGTGGGTGGGGCAGCTTCCCTGGAGCTGGGATCTCCACAAGTCGCTTTGCTTCTCTGAGGCTTCAGCTTACTCTGTGTACTCTGTGTACGCTAAACGGTAGCCACTATTTGATTATTGGCTGTGGAGGGGAGATCAAGACTCACCCCTGTAGCGGCTGTTTTATGTCAGGGCCCACCCAGGACCCAGTAGGTCCTCACAGATACTTGTTGGATGACTAAATGGACGTGCCCACCCATCAGAGCCTGAGTGCTGGAGGCGCCCACCCCTTTCCGCATATTATTAGAGACAGCCACTACTTTCTGAGCTGCTGCGTTCCAGGCACCTGTGTACCACTGCATCGGTCCCCATCATCCTATGTGGGGTCAGTCCTATTACAGTCCCTTCTAACAGGAGGGGCTGAGGCTCACAGAGGAGAAGACACTCACCTAAAGTAACATAGAGAGAAAGACACGCACACGTACTGCACATCCCCAGGAGACTCTCCATCTGTGAAGTGGTGTGGGTGTGCTGTCTTCCCTTCCGGGCAGCCCCACACCGTCCTAAGGCGGAGTTGGGGTGGGCGTGGGGATGGACCCTTCCCACCCATCCTCCAGTTAGCGCCATGCACCTTGCCCAGCAACGCTGCAGACAGATCTGAAGCGAAGCCTTCCTGCCCATCTGGAGGCCTCGGCCTTCCCCATCTGAGAAATGGGCTGGGGAGGCGGGGGAAAGCTCCGCAGCACCCCCTCCCCTGGGCTGGGACGCGGCGGGGAGGGCAGGGCGAAGCTCGGAGAACAGAGGGGCCGAGCCCAGGGAGCTGGCCGAGACCTGACACCAATTTCCCACTCCGTCCCCTCCGGTGGGCGCCGGAGACCCGCCAGCCCGAGAGGGCGCCCCTCCTTAAAGGGCTAGTGGCCTCCAAGCCCGACGCCCACGACCGGCGATGGGTGAGGGTGTCTCCCCTCCCCGTCCAGCCCAGGGAAAAGTTAACTTTCCAGACTTAGCTGTGTTCAGTGAAGGAGTCGGTCTCGCCTGCCCGCCCTCCATCTCCCACACCATCCCTGGCCCCCGACCCGGGCGGCGGAGGTCCAGCCCTCAACTCAGAGGCTTCGGGCCCGCCCTCCCCTTCCGCCCCCGGCCACTCGGCAGGCTCCGCCCCTCTCTGACGTCACCGAGGCCCGCGTCGATTGGTCGACTGCGCTGTCGCTCCGGACACTTCCTCCTGGGCCACCGCCGCCGACTTAAACTTTGGAGGGGGAAAAAGAGCTACCCGCTCCTGGCGACCCTCCCTGCCCCCCACCCCACCCCGCTGCCGGCAACGCCCCCTTCCTCACGGCTCCCGACTGAACTTTTCTCCAACTTCCGCGACCCGTGAGATTCCCTGTTACCTACCCCGGCCCTCGGGACCCCTCTGCCCATCCCCGGGCTGGTCGGGGTTCTTCCTGCGAACCCCTTTATCTCTGGGATCCACTCGGTCCCCGACTCAGAGGCTTCTGTCCTCCACCCCCAAGGTGAATTCCCCGGGCCGCCTTCCGAGAGGGATCCTGTTCTTGGAGCACTGGATGCTGGGATTCCCTCTGCCCCCTTCTGAATCCCTCCTCTAGGGAAGGGGCCTTTGAATCGCGGGCTCTCCCGATCCCTGCGATCCCGACCTACTAGATTTCCCTTCGGGCTTCTTGGAATCTCTTAATCGCTGGGACCCCCAAACCACTACTTTTCTCCTTTCTGATCTTCTAGGAGCCCTGGATTCCGGGCCTCTGACCCACGACAGTGCCTTCCTCTCTTTCCCAGGACCCCGCCATCCTCAGGTCCCCGCCGCCTGCCAGATCTCTTCTAGGGTCCCCGCGCTCCCGCCACCTGCTCACGAGATCCCGCGGATCTAGGACCCGTGGTCCCCCGGGGCCCCCCAGCCGGGTCCCGGGTGGGCGCCGGGCGGCCAGTCCCGGGCCTCCCCGCATGGCCGCCGCCCCCTCTTATCCCGCGGGGCTCCCTGGCTCTCCCGGGCCGGGGTCTCCTCCGCCCCCCGGCGGCCTAGAGCTGCAGTCGCCGCCACCGCTACTGCCCCAAATCCCGGCCCCGGGCTCCGGGGTCTCCTTTCACATCCAGATCGGACTGACCCGCGAGTTCGTGCTGTTGCCCGCCGCCTCTGAGCTGGCTCATGTGAAGCAGCTGGCCTGTTCCATCGTGGACCAGAAGGTGAGGGCACCGGCTCACCGATCCAATTTGGGGAGAGGTTGAAGGAGGGAGCGCTGGCAGGGGGGTCTGCGGCCTGGGGTGTGGAAGAGGAAGGGAGGGGACCTGAGCATTGGGTGTGATGGAGGGATAGGGGGCATTGCTCCCTGGCCATTGCCCCTCACCCCACGTCCCTTTGAGAGAGGACTGGGCAGGGGTGGGGTGCCCCAGAGGCCTCCCCAAATTTCATGTCCCTGCATGTTGTTTTCTGCAGCAAACAGGGAGGAAGGGAGAGGCCAGCCAGGTGTAGAAAGGGGAGGAAGGGGCAGCAGATTTCGGGGGATCTCCACGTCCAGGCCCATTTCGGGCCTCCCATTTGGTGGAAACAGGAGAAATTGAACCTGGGCTGGCCATGGCGATCCGGTGACATGTGTGGGTGCAGGTGCCTGAGTTAGCTGCCAGGGGCAAGTGAGGTCTCAGAGCCCAGTTCTGCCCTTCCCTAAGCCTGAGGTGTGTGTGGAGGGGCAGCCACCCCTTCTGCACCCCTAGAGGCTCTGGGGACTCCATTCCCTTTCCTACTCAGTGCTCTTACCCTGCTCTTAATTTTGGACACCGCAGTCCCCGGGGTGGGCAGCTGGGCATTATGAGGGGACCAGGTGGAACTCCACATCTGAATCCTAAAATGTTCAAAGTTCGAATAGGGCTTCTGTGTTGGAGTAGTGGACTGTACAAATGTGAGAATACTAGAATCACAAACTGTTGGACCAGGCATCCTGAACCATTATGTTAGTGTTAGAATCTGAAGTTTGTGAAAGAGTAAAACATTAAAACGTCGGAATGTTAGATTCCTGGAGTGTCGAATCCTAGAGAGTTAAAATGTTAGAATTTTGGAATGCTGGATGGATGAAGTCCTTGAATGCTAAAGAATTCAAATACTAAATACCACAGTCCTAGCTTGTCAGAAGCCTAGAACATTAAAATATTAGATTACTGCTAATGTAGGTTACTGAAATCCTAAAATATATAGTGATACCAGGTTAGAATCTAGAATGTAGAATTCTGTAATGTGAGCATGTTGGAATCCCAAAATATCCAAATTCCAGAATCTTTGCAGACTCCTGGAAATGAATCCTTTGGGCTTCAGAGAAACATGAGGAACTAAGCCAGCTCCCCCATTCTCCAGACAAGGAAACAAGCGTAGACAAAGACTTCCCAGGGGTCAGAGCCAAGGCAGTCCTGATCTTCTGTGGGCTGGCTCTTAGCAGTGAGAACAGATAGGGTTTTACCCACCAAATACCCAAATCTAGCAGGCCCAGCTCCCCACCCCAACTCAGCCCACTTCATGGGAAGCTGGTGGCGGTGGGTGTACGGGGGTAGATTGTCCCTTGGGTGAACTTTGTCCAGTGCTCATGTCCCCAGCCTGCCCCGCTCAGGCTTCACCCCAGTTTTATTTTTCTGCCAGGTCCAGGTGTGTTAGAGCCCCACACCTTCCTTCCCGAGGCCCCACCCGGGCAGTTTCACTTTCTGTTCTATCAGGTTTCATTTCCTGTCTCCTGGCCCCCCAAGCTGAGGGACCCAGACACCTGGGTCCTTTGAGCATTGGGTGGGAGGCACCCTCCTCATCTCCAGCCCCTTCGAGTCCTAGACCCCCGCCCCCCCACCACTTTCCAAGGAGGCTCGAAAAGTCCTCCTTCCAGCTCGCCCCGCCCCATTGCTGGGCCTCGAGCCAGGTAACTGGGACAACAATAGACAGATCCAGGAAGGAAGCTGGGGGGCGGGTGTGTGAGCCTGGGTGGGGGGCACAGGCGAGGAGGTGTTCATTCAGCCTCACCCCCCACCCCCGGCCCCCACCAGGTTCCGGAAAATTCAAGGTGTCCACGCTCCCGGAGCCACACTCCCTCCCACCCCAGCTCCCCCTTCCAGCCACCAAACCCACGCCGGCGCCCCCCTCCCCGCACACTTGGGGTGCTGGCATCCTGCCCGGCTCACACTGGGTTTGGGAGGGGGCAGGCAGGAAGCGAGGGCCTGCGGGGTCTCTGAGTTTCCGGGGGAAACAGCCGGCCCTGCCCTGGGTGGGTCACAGTCCGCCCGCTGCTGAAGGCGGCTCTGAGCCTTTCCATCGCCACATCCCTCTCCCACCCCTCAGTTCCCTGAGTGTGGCTTCTACGGCCTTTACGACAAGATCCTGCTTTTCAAACATGACCCCACGTCGGCCAACCTTCTGCAGCTGGTGCGCTCGGCCGGAGACATCCAGGAGGGCGACCTGGTGGAGGTGGTGCTGTCGGGTGAGAGGCGGTCGCCGGCCTGGGGGCGGGGCCGGGATAACTGGAGGAGGAGAGGGTAGCCGGGTGTTGGCATGAGAAACGTCCTAGAAATTCGAGGCTAGTAGTTCTGCAAATTAGACTCATCTGGGGAAGCCTTTCCCACCTACCACCCTGAATGGGTAAATGCATTGTGGTGCGTTCACGCTGCGGACTTCACAGAGCACTGAGCATAAAGGAGCCACGGCAACCTACATGCGTCTCACAAACATAACGCTGCGAGAGAAACTAGATGCCAGACTACAAACCGTATGATTTCCTGTGAAGCACGAAAAAGACAGATACAATGTCTCTCTGGAGTTAGAAGTCAGGAGAGGCCGGTGCAGTGGCTCACACCTGTGAGTGCAGCACTTTGGGACGCTGAGCTGGAGCTGGGAGGATCGCTTGAGCCCAGGAGTTCAAGATCAGCCTGGGCAACATAGTGAGACTCCATCTCTCTCTCCCT